CACCCCATTCCAACCCTTAACAAATATTTATAATGTACAGTCAACAGCCGAAGACGATTTAGGGCTGTTTAGGGAGTTTAACGGTTGATAAAATATTTGGTATATGTTAGTTTATATTACGCACTGCTATTTTGGTTTTATTAGTTGGTTGTAAATACTAGACTAATGTAATTCTAATATTTTTACATTTTATGAATATGGCAACCCTGAACAGTATTATTTATGAAAAAAAAACAGTAAAATCATAATATTCGTAATAGCAAAACAAATTAAATATTTTCAAATTGTGTATTTAACAACCCCAATTAGATTTTTTTAATATTATAAACCGCAAGGTACTATAATTTCTTTGCAGGTATGCAGATACCTTTTGAATAACTATGATTTTTGAGACATCAAAATCCTTAGAAAGATCATGTTTTTTGTAAAGTATTTAAAATAACGGAAGTAGAAACTGAAAGATCTTAAGTTTCATTGTTCTATCATACAATAATAAGTAGATAATAAGTTTGGCTTTCAAGTAAAGTATTGTATCAATACTGCACCAAGAAAGAAAGTCTGAGAGATCCTAAGTAGTTTTCAATAGATAAGTGAAATATGCGGACCCGTATTCGGCGAGTAAGGCACACTATGGCATAACTTTGTTTGAGAAGAGACCCCAAGTCTTGTAGTAGGACGATAAGAATTTACATAGATAAATCATATTATATTAAGTCTAATAAAATTGTAATATTTATAATAATAACAGCTAAATTTAAATAAGTAATATTGCTATATTTAATTATAATATTTATTAATTTTTTTAAAATGTTTAGAAATAAAAATCAACAAATATTGTAAGGTACTTTATTGCCATTTTTTGAAATCATTTTTGTAAAATAGTGGGTAGGCACTGTCTGTAACAAATGTGTTTGAGACGTCTATAACCATAGTCTCCCGTGACCATGATTGCTATAAAGCATTCAAAACGTCGGGAACCAAAAATCTAAATAAATCCGCGAAATAATCCGAAAAAATAGTTTTATTTAAAATTTCAAATATTCGCGTAAATCTAAGAAAGTATTAAGGCTAATAAAATTCAATAGAAACTGCATCGCTAAATCTATGATCTGGGGGAGTTAGTTTAAAACAGTATCTACCTGACTTCAAACAAACGGATGAAATAAATAGCTACATCCAAAACGAACTTTCTTTTTTTTTTTTTTTTTATTCTCATTTAAAGAGCTGAGTCACTTGGGCGACTATGTTGCTCTGGTAGGTTACACAAATATTCTTATCTATACATTAATTATAATATTATTTAGTTTCGCTTACTTATGTTATGTTTACCTATATTATACATAATTTTGGCTGACTTTGAAGTAGGATTTGCTAGATATATATTACATATTCCAATTGATCTATCTGCTAATTGTGATAAAAGGGGTTCGCTTCGAGCACATTCCATTAAAATATGGTACACATCCTCTATAACTCCGCAATCGGGACAATTAGGAGAAAGAACTTTCTTCATTAAATACCCAAACTTATTTAATGGAATGTGTCCGGAGCGCAGTCTCAAAGCCATCACAATATCTTCACGTTTGAAATTACACATATCTACCCAAGAATAGTAACAAGGTTGTGGTTGAATCGTTTTGTACCATATGCCTTTTTCTTTAGACCTCAAGTCAAAATACTCTTTCCAAGCATCTAAACATTTTTCTTTTATCAAATAAAGACAGTCTGTATAGAAAGGTAACATATGAATTATATCTCCATCAGTGCAGGCCTGTCTGGCAAACTGATCGACCTTCTCGTTCCCAATAATTCCAATATGAGAAGGAATCCACTGCAAAACAACTGATTTTTTCAAGGACTTCATTTTAAGAATCAATTCAATGATAGTATTGGCTATCGGTGTTCCTCGAAAAGTCGAGGTGCAACGAGCCAAGTGTTGTAATGAACTTTTTGAATCAGTAAGAATAATAAATTTATTAAAATTAATTGTCTCAATATAAGATAATACTTCAGCCAGAGCAATAAGTTCTGCGTACATTATTGAAATTTTGTAATTATTTTTAAATCTCATATTAGTTTCTGTTTGGGGATCATAAAAAGCAATTCCCGTTTCATTGTTATCCAAAGATGCATCAGTAAATAATTTATAATAGTTAGGATATTGTGAATTTAAATAATTTAAACATTTTATTTTAATATCAAGAGAATTATACGAGCGTTTTGCTTTCTTAATGTGAGGTATATCTATCTTAATATGTGGGTCCAAGTCGATTTTTGAAGTCCAAACATTTAAATTAAACATTTCTAGTTGTTTGCTTCTATGAACTGATATATTTTGAATTTCATTAAATAACATAATTAATAAAGGCTTTTTCTTTCTGTTCCAATATGAATTTTCAAATTGAGATGCATATTCACTAAGTAGAGAAATAATACTGTTGTTTTCTAAAGATTTTGCTTTTAACAAATATTTTCCGCCTAAATAGCGTCTACGAATAGCTAAAGGCGGTAAACTTAATTCACTCTCCATCACATGTATAGGAGTTGTTCTTATAAACCCACCGATAACTCTCATACATTGGTTTTGAATTTGATCTAATTTAGACAAATGTGAGCGCGGGCCGTCATCGAACAAAAAACTCGCGTATTCAATTCTACTTCTTAGTATAGAAATGTATAACTTTTTTAAATACTTTGGATGGATACCCCAGCCAGAACCAGCTAAAACTTTAAATAAATTTAAAAACTTCGAAACTTTATCTCTTACACTACTTACATGAGTTCCCCATTTTAATTTTCGATTCAACCACAACCCTAGATATTTTACATTTTCTACTATTTCTAAAGAAACACTGTCTATTCGAAGGTTAATAGATTTACTAATGTGAGCTCTGTTAAATATGCATATTTTACTTTTGAAAGGGGAAATACTTAAACCTAATTCATCAAGCAATGCACTGAAAATGTTCAAAGCTGATTGTAAATCATTGGTAGCGATATTCAAGTTCTTATTTGAAGTATACAAAACAAAATCGTCTGCATATTGTGAGATAAAAACATTTTTAATAGACTGGCATATGTGAGCTGTCGCAATATTAAATAGTAAAGGCGATAAAGGATCTCCTTGAGCTAAGCCCTGGCTACAACATCTAGTTAACGATAACGTATCTAAATGAATATTTAGAGATCTATGATTAAGAAAATTCCATAAATAATTGCATATTTTTGATCCCACCCCATAATTGTCCATCAAAGTTAAAAGTTTAGATATATCTATGTTATTATATGCTCCATCAATGTCAATGAAACAACAAGAGGTAGAATTGCCTAGTCCAAATCCTTTTTGTATACATAAAACTAGTTTGCATAAGTTATCTAAACAAGAATGAGCTTTCCTGAAACCCGTAGTATCTACAGAGAAGGTATTTGATCTTTCAAAATACCATTCAAGTCTTTTGTTTAGGATTGAATGAAAAACTTTACATATACAGGACATTAAAGATATAGGTCTTAAAGATGATACTGAGTGTGGATCACGTCCAGGTTTCGGTAAAGGAATAATAGCTATCTCTCGCCACTGCTTTGGAACTATTCCATCTTTGAGAAATATGTTAAAAAGATTCAAAAGCCAATCTTTACCACTTTCAGGTAAGTTTTTGATCATTGAAAATGAAATCATATCTACTCCCGGAGCCGTATCTTTTGATTTGATAGAAACTTCTAATTCCTTTCTAGAAATTGATGTTTCTAAATAGTAGTTACTCGATCTAAATGTAGGACAATTATTAACAACAAAATCAGGGGCAAGACTTTGAAGGAGGTCCCTTGCACTATCACTACTAATAAAAGATTTTTTAGAATATCTCCCTTTTATCCATTTCATTCGAAACCACATTTCGTTTATTGAAGACACTTCACATAAACCATTACAAAAATTTTGCCATGATTTTGATTTCGACTGACGTAATATTCTTTGAGCTTCACCTACTTTATTTTGTAAAATATCAAGGTTATTTGGCGTTGGGTTATCTCTAAATACAACAAGTGCTAGACGTCGTTCAGCTATAGACTTCGAAACAATCATATTCCAAAATGGTTTAGGTTTAAAGACATTACTAGGGTTTAGGATAAATTTAATAAAAGGGATATACTTGTCTGCTGCACGGTTCATACAATCAAGCAACATATCGTACCCTAATTGCGCGTTTACGGGAAAACCGAGATCATTCAGTGACGAATTGATTTCGGAACGATATGGCTCCCACTTACCTAATTTAAAGTTCCGCTTTTTAATAAAGTGATTAGGAGGTACGCTGTAATTTAGAGTTAACTTAATTATTAGATGATCACTTCCTAGGGACTCGTTTGTTACAAACCATTCACAATTTAAGGCAATGTCCGATGATACTAAGGATAAATCCGGAGAGGATTTTTGCAAATTATTATTTACAAATTTAACACGGGTTGGTAAACAACTATTATTGAGGATTACGTAGCGGCTATCTACAAGTGAATCAAAAATCTGAATTCCTCTTCTATCTGTTCTATTTGACCAGCTATGATGATGGCCATTAAAATCACCTAATATTATAGATCTTTGCGTGATTATTGAAAAAATTTCATCCCAATTACTTTGCGAGGTTCGTGCGGATGGAGGGCAATATAAAGCATAAATACTTTCAAGATTATTACAATTATGAATTTTGACACGTAAAAGTTCAATATCTGAATTACCTATATTAAGTTGGCAAACCTCCGTTCTAACAGAATGATGAGAAATAATAGCGACACCTCCATATCCATCAGATCTATCATAGCGATAAATGTTATAACCAGAGATTCTTATATCATCTCTCTCATTCAACCACGTTTCACTAATCACTGCAATGTGAATTTTATCCCGATTTAATAGTAGCTCAAAGTCACTTAATTTAGGTTTAAAACTTTGTGCATTCCACTGCAAAATATTAAGTTTAATATAGCTTCCAAATGGTAAATTATCCATCTACAGATTCAAATATATTTTTGAATATTGGTAACTCTAAAACTTTGGTCTTACATAAAGAAATCAGCCACTCCCATATAATTGCTAAAGCTTCTGTAATTTTCTCCTTCAGAGATATTCTACGTATAAATATAATGTTTTTCAAATTTTCTAAAAGTTGTTTAAATGATATATGGTCGCTATTATTTTTTTGTTCTTCCTTTGAATAATTTGATGCCACCTCAATATTTACTTCCGAATCCGATGATATATCCCAATCCATTGTGTTTCGTGATTGACTATTTTTTTTTTTTGAAATATTTTTCTTTTTACATTTTGTTCTTTTATTTTTATTTTCGACACTATTTATCTTCTTAGCGGACTTTACTACTTCTGAATAGCTTTGTGGTTGATTCATGACTGTAGCAGGCTCCGGGTTTGAACTAAGTGCAGGAAAATCTACATTTATGTCCAGATTATTTTCTTTTTCTGGTTGAGGAGATGGGGGCACATACATCATAGTTGCTCTTCTAAAACTACAATTAAACTCTGCCATTAACTGTCTGATTCTTTTTTCCTTAAGGAATACTGGACATGTTCGTACTAGCGACATGTGTTGCCCACCACAATTAATACATTTAAACTGGTTTGTTTCACAATTATTATGATTCTTTGTGCACTTGGGGCATATAATACTTTTTGAAGGACAAAATTTATGAGTGTGACCAAATCTCCAACATTTGGAGCATTGCGTCACAGGGAATATGTATGGTTCGACCTTTACCTTTAAGCCATATATGAAAATATGTGGTGGTAAGGAGGAACCTTTAAAACAAAGGCGAATCGTTTCACTTTCAGTCCAACCAGGGATTTCATCATTTCTACGAAATAATCTTTTAACTGATATTATCTCTAAATCCGACGAAATGCTCAATTGTACATCCTTTTCAGACAGATCTAACTCAATATCTCTGATAATGCCATAGGAAAATCCGACTTCACTTGTTTTGTAGCATTTCCAGCCTTTTTCCTGCAACGCTGTAGAAGTAATCATTTTTTCTGCATCGCTTTCTTCTTCAAATAAAACAAAAATTTTATAAGGTGTTGCATATTTAACTCTTATTATATTTAATATATTGTGTTCTTTCAAAAACCTCGCCAATTCTATCTGCTTAGGAATTTTTTCTTTACTTGTAATACAGACTTCTATTTTATCATCTATTTCTTCTAAACTTTTTTCTGATAAATTTCTACGATACTTTCTTTTGCTATTTCTAGACACTAAAGTCCACATCTCCGTGTCATCCTCATCTCGATATCTTTTTTTGTATATAGGTTTGTATTTTCTTCAGTCTCCTCCACTCGAAATAATTCTTCATTTTCATTATATTGTTCTACTTCGCTCCTATTCTCCATGCTATTTAGCACGGGCGACGTGCTATTTGCGATATTATTCATAATAATTATAAAACATAATATTGTTTACGTAAACTGTCCACTAGAATGCGCGTTAGTGCAAAATGCACACGGCTAGCGGGCAAACCGGTTTCTTATCTCAACGCGTAGCAGTATAATTATTACTTGCAAAAAACACGACCGTGCCGCATAGGGTCTTCCACGCAACTGAACTTTCTTGGAAGTAAAGAAAATAAATTGTCGATTGAAAAGTGGACTGCGATTTGTACGCGCTCATTCAGAGAGTATCAAACATGTAGTTTGATTGTACGTAGATATAGTATTATCACCTTTAACTTATATGTAAGAAGGGCTATAATCCCATACAACTATATTAATAGATGAGTTCAGCTTTATTGAATTGGCTTGCTTTAAGATACCTCATCTTGAAAAATCGTAGTTTCCAAGCTTAAGTATGTATCAATTTCTTTAACCGAAATCAGTTAGTAATTTAGTTTATTATAGTAAAAAGCCAAGTACCTGCTTTTTACCCGACTGTGGTGAAGCCCAAAGGAGGGTTATGTGTTTCACTTTGTGTACATGTAAATCTTAACCGAATTCGTTGAAGTTCATGAGTGATGAGATATGTACATCTTGATAACGCGAGTTATCATAGTCATATGGTATATGAAAATTATAAAATATCAAAATGGTGGGTTTCAGGCGTAAAGTGTCTTGAAAAAAGTTGTTTTTTCCAAACATTTCGTGTGGGGTCTCAAAATCAAGGTTTTTCAAGGCACCGGAGTGAGCCACCACAAACTTCCTAACTTCGGGCTGTTGTCTGTTACTGGGATTTTCTTAACAGAAAGACTCAAGAAATGAACTTGGCCCGTCCCGATACTCGAATCTAGGACCTCCATACATCAGTCATATATGCTAGCTATTACACCACCGAGGCAGTTATTGTTATACAAAGACGCAGATTTCATTCATTAACTCACTGACTAATTTTTAACAAAGTTTTTATTATTCATTTTTTTTTAATTCTTAATTATAAATAATGATTGTTCTTAATTTAATAGATAAAGGTCTTTAAGCTCAAATTAAAACATCAAAATGAGATATTAATGTACATGTAAAAGAGAAATTTCGCAAATATATTATGAAAAACATTTTGGGCTCGTGTTTTATATAAACTTTTTAAAATAAACACATTTTTATTCTCATAGAAATAAAAGTTTTTTGAATTAGAACTTTTATTCTCACTTTGAAAGGTATCCTATTGACTGCGTCTAGCGAAGCCTTCTGTCTGAAGTTCACCGGAGCTTCTTTTATAATTTTAGTTTCACACCTTTCCTTATAGTACAGGAGTTATATAATGCATAATATAAAAACTTTTTAACAAAAAATAAAAACCGACTTCCAGGCACTAAAATGTAAAAAATAACTAAACGGAGGTTTTCATTTAGAATAGATACCTAATCAGATGTTTTCGAAGTCGGTGCCAGCCGATGCAAAGCAAATCTAATATATTTCGATATGTAAAATACATAATATTTACCTATTAGATATTCATATCTTAGAATATTGTCGGCTGGCACTGACTTCGAAAATATCTGATTAGGTATCTATTCGAAATGAAGTATGACATTAGCATTAAACATTACTTCTAATTCCAAGGTCAAACTTGTCAAAAGGTTGAATGACGATGTCATCATTATATGACTCCACGATCCTCTATAAAGGCAGAGAACGTTATACTGGATTATAGTGGATATCACTAGCTGTTCTAGCAGGCAAGTCACCTAACATGCTCTTAAGGCAAGTGGTATTTCCTACCTTTAAACAAAACGATCACAGATATTGAAAAATATAAGAACAAAATCCTATAAACTAATATAGTTAAAACAATAACTTAATCAGTATATTTATCATGAATCAATAGAGTGAAATTTGGGAAAAATATTCAAAAATTCACTATCTCTTTGTCTATATAATAGATGGGCATCCTTACCTCACGTTCAAATATCAAAGAGATTGAAAGCCTTTGATAAAAAAGGTTCGACTTTATACAATCTAAAATGGTTTTATAGCGGTTTCCAATGCCTTGGTAAAAACGCTGTAGTTTTATGTATTTTGATACTAAACTTAGAATTAACTGTGCAGTTAACAGCAAGTATATGGCAAAGCACAAAACTTTTCATATGTAAGATAAAGGCTTATGATTTTTGTTATATGAGATGATCATTCATAATGATTCTACCAGATTTATTTTTGTCCTACATAGTGCCTTTTATAAATATTTAGTTTAATACTTTGCCCGCGGGTCCGCCCGCGTTCAAATGATCAGAAACTAAACTCTTAGGTTTTAAACTTTAACATATTAGTATACTCTTACATTGCAGTTTTTATATTTTTTCTCTGAAATGAGACATTTTGCTGCGGTAAAAAGTATCCTATATGTTGACCTGGATAACCAGCTATCATCATACCAAATTTCATCAAAATCCTTCCAGTGGTTTTTCTGTGATGCGGTAACAGACAGACAGAAAGACAGACAGACAGAAAAAAATCTTAAACTATATATTCGGCCTCTGTATCGATGCCAATGTATCACTAAAAGAAGGACAAATAAACAAAATCGAAGTCAGGTTGTATATCTAAGTTGCTAAAAATGTTACTTTATTATGTATCTCTGTATCTCAATACAAATGAATTATTAAGGAATGATTTCCGGAGTAAAAAGTATCCTATGTCTTTCTCAGGGACCATAGGGTCTCATACTATCTTCTTACGAAATTTCATCTAAATCGGTTCAGTAGAGATAGCCCGCTACAACGTCACAAACTCACAAACTTTACCTCTTTATAATATTAGTATAAACTAGCGTTACCTCGCAGCTCTGCCCGCGTCGATTCACTTTGTACAATTACTTTGCTGAGTGTGTTAAAAAGCAAAAACAAATCTATCCCACGGGAACTGTACATTTTTTCGGGATAAAAAGTAGCCTATGTGTTATTCTTATGCATAACCAATATAATTGTAAAGTTTCATTAAAATTCATTAAGCTAGTAGTAGTTTTTGCGTGAAAGAGTAACAAACATCCATACATCTATACATCCTCACGAACTTTCGCATTTATAATATTAGTAGGTAGTATACTTCCATAATAGGTAGGCTTTAAAATGCATTACGTATTTTCCAAATCAAACCAGTAGATTAAGAGATTAGCGCTTACAAACAAACAAAAAACAAACTCTTTAATTTCATATATTAGTCAATAGTAGTATAGGTAGATATAATTAATCAATAAAATGTCAAAGGGTTGCTATACGTAATTGGGCCTCGGTACGGTAGAGACTATCAATATATTGGCATTTAGAAGCTATTACGTGGCTAATGATTTGGAACTCTTAAGGGAATACGAGTGTCGTTTTAGAAGTTATTTCTTGATAAAAACTAATGATAATATTAGATTATAGTAAATACTCTAATATAAAAAAAAAAATAAAAGAACAGAGGGACGATATAATAATAGACATATATATATTTTCAATAAAGGAGGCTGTTTTATGTAAAACTAGCAGAGTTCACGGCTATTACCGCGTTTAATCTATAAAAAAAACTCTTTGGCTTTATGTTAAAATCACGATTAAAAAATATTGGGGGTGGGGGTGTAGGAGGGTGAAAAATACTTTACGACCTATTGTCATACTTACCAAATATACAAAAAAAATCATTAAAATCGGTCGAGCCGTTTCGGAGAAGTGCGACCACAAACACCGTGACATAAGATATTTATATATTGGATTTTATTTAAAAAAAATACGTAAATATTAACGTTATATTACATAAAAATAAATAAATATAATAAATAAATAATTAAGGTTGGGTAAGAGTTTCCTTTTAATACGATGGGATCAGGTACCCTAGGCTGGCCAAACACAGGTCCAAAGTCTAACAGGCTTCAATATCTTTCAAGAACTTCTTTCTTTCAAACATGCTGGTTTTCTTATGATATTTTACTTCCTTTCCTTTGAATCCATGAAATATCGGAGGTGCGAGACCCGGATTTGAACCCGCTCTCTTTGTAGAAATAAGTCACACTATTAAAATTATTAGAAT